CTTCACTATACAAGAACTTTTTTTCGGCCACATATAACCCATAAATTTGCCTGGAAGTGTGTTATCAAAATATTTATATAAAAACAAAAACATTCTTCCTCTGTTTCTTTCTAGTTGCAACACTCCCTTGAAATGAAAATGTCACAATAGTTGCAACACACCATAAAAAGAGGGTTTTTATGGTGAAAATTGTATTATTACCTTAGCTTTAATTAAAGCACATGGCCCACTTGATTATACTCCTAACAACCTTTTAACCCCATTTTAAGTGTATTGCGTTGTTTAACACGTGAAGTTCACATTTCTTAAATAGCGTGATAAAGTGTGTGTTGTAACTATAAAGAAACGGATGAAGTAATACTTATATATTCAAATATAAGATGCAGCAAACTTACAATAAATATAACCCATGTTTATGGATATGATTCTAGAAATACAAAAACGATTATATTAATTACCAAATGATTAATATACATAGTTTACTTGAGTGGATGTGTTTTGAAATGATGAATTTAATACATGTATGATTTCAAACCAAACATAAATAAGTGAAAACTAACTTACTAATTGATAACATAGAATTTGTATAAGGAATACTTACAATTTGAACTTTGCGGTAATATATAAAACGTACAATTTATAAGTTACTAAACGAATAACACACTTTTTTTTTTTTGAAATTTAAACAATAGAACAAATAAACTAGAATTAACATATCAAATAGAAGAAATCATTACATTCTATAAAAGCAACTGATACATCTGTTAACTAATCCATTTAGAAAGTAAAGCATATAACAGAACAAGTATTGTACAAAGCTTCTTGCTGATACATATTCTTGTTGAAACACATTATTAAACCAAACAACAACATACAATACCATTATCCTAACACTTATAGCCCAATAAATTTTTAACCCTAAACCTTAACCCAATCCTAAGAACATTTATATGCAACAATAATCATCATAATATATTAATAAGTGTTGTATTAACATTTAAGGAATCATATTGTCTTTAATAGAATCATCCAATATATTTGACATAAATATAAATAGTACAAATAAATATATAATACGATAACATACGTGTTGATACCCCTTGGTGTAGTTGGTGGATGCTTTTCTATTATGCATAAGTGATCCGTGTTCGAATCCAAACTACACCAATTTGTTTTTAGGCTTTTAAATACTAATGATACTAATTATCAATAAAAAAAATTCGAGTCATGATTGATTTAAATTCAATATACCAATTATTATTATTTTTGTTTGCATTTTATTTTCCATTCACCTATTAGCCATAAATAGTAATGTCCAAATAAAAATGAGTACTTTTACATACATACTAATGTTACCAATCGTCAATATAACAATTCGAGATCTGATTTCTTTAAACTCGAAATTATGAGACTCCCACTACAAAACCAAAATCTTTCCGTATTTCTAAGCATCAAATTCCATAAAACAACATCTACTTTTCGAATTTAAACAACATCAAAATGGTATTAATAGGATCAATATAAATATTTGCTTACTTATTCATATCTGATTCATATATACAAATACAAATATGTTCTCAAAGGCATACATATGACAAAACCTTGTAAATTCTTCAGCGCTTGCAAAATACATACTCATAGCTGGAGTACGGCTGTTTTGTTCTTCTCCGTTTGACCGATTAAAAGAATCATGTTCATTTATATTGTTATTAACCTCAGCCTCAACCTCAAACTCAACCTCAACCTCTTCATTACCAATGTTATTAACCTCGGCTTCTTCATTAAGATCGAATGATATTATTGCTTGTTCTTTTGTTACATCGTTTGATTTTGCATCTCCGATTGAGCTAATCACATCGTTTATCACTTCATTAAGATCAATGTTGAAACGAGAAGACACGTTTTCTCTTTCCATTTCACTGCCACAATATCAAACACACTACTGTATTTTATTTCAGATTCTACAACATGAAAAAAGATACTATAAAATTATATTTTAATTTAATATTGACAGAATGATCCTACGTATAAAAAACAGTTCCTATAAAATTATTGACAGTTATAAACCTCGATTTCATTTAACAATTGCTTCCATTACAATGGAACCCAGAAAATTTCCTTCAATTAAATATCATTTAAAACAATTAGAAAATACACAAAACCAAAGCAACTTACAAAACAATATATTAATCTAAACGATTTTCCTTTTCAAATCCATTGTTATAAAATTTCTAATTTTTACCCAAAATCAAATACTTCTAAATCAAACAATGAAAATCCTAAATTATCAAAAAATCAAATTAAGAAATTTAAATGAAATTATTCAACAAAAAACAAGATTACCTGCGAATACTTGTAACTAGTTGACGAAATTGATACCCACACTTGAATAATTTCTTCACAATCCATTCCCTTATTCAAATTTGTATGTTTTTGGCCAAGGAATTGGGGGGAAAAATGAAATTTCGGGGGAGAAGATGAGGAATTTCAACGCTTACTTGGGAACTTAATTTTGTGTTATCCATTAATTGAAGCATTAATTGTTGGCGCCATATGAAAATTTTTCCCCTCACCTTCCTCACAATGGCGCCCAGCCTGAAAATTTTGCCGCTCTTCTTTGCCTCTTCTTTTTATAATTTCCCTAACTTTAATGTTGAGTTGGCGATTTAATTGGTGGTGTACAATGTCTTTGTACACTTAGTGTACCCCTAGCTTTTTACGAAATTATGTGAGGTTCTAATGGAGTTGATTTTTTTGTGAAAAACTACCTTTTAAAATTCAGATTTTGCGAGAAACTACCCTAAAAATAAAATGTTGTAATTAACTACCTTATAAAATATAAAATGTTGTAATTGACTACCTTCTATCGGAATGACACATTTGACTTTTATTTCCCGACGTTGACCATGTCCGCGAGGGTCACGTGACCCTTTAATGACTTAATTCCCCTCTTTTCCTCAAAATTTCCCGCTTTACTCCAATTCAACCCATATAATTATCAAAGGGGTTGCAAATAAACAATATAAAATAGGAAAAATTGTTCCCATTAATCTGAACTTTGCCTCATCCGCCGAAATTAATCCCAACTTCAGTTTATTATCTATCACTCCCAACTTTGGTGGGTATTAATTTTCGTTGCACCCAAATGACTTGCAACCGGTAAAGCAGGTAAACCTTTGTGAATTTTTTTTATGCACACGTGTCAATATGTAATTGGTTGAGAAAAATAAAGAAAATTAAAAAAAAATTATTAAGTAAAGAAAATTAAAAAAAAATACAGAAAAAAAAAATTAGAACAACCCAGCAGCACCCACCACCACACGAACACCACCGCCGCACATCAAACCACCACCACCGTTGGCCAAAAATGGTCGATAATGGCCACAAATGGCCGAAAATGGCTGATGTTGGGGCTGGATACCCTAAACCGGCCGATTTCGGCCGTTCGTGGTCGATTTCGTGCATAGGCGTCGCCGATTTCGTGGCTGGGTTCGCTGATTTCGAGGGTGGGGAGGGGTTATCGGTGGCTGGGGAAGGGTTATCGGGGGCTAGGGATGGGTTTTCGGGGCTAGGGAGGGGTAATCGGGGGCTGGGGAGGGGTTATCGGGGGTGGCGAGGGGTTATCGAGGCTGGGGAGGGGTGTTATCGGGGTTGGGGAGGGGTGTTATCGAGGTTGGGGAGGGGTAATCGGGGGTGGGGAAGGGGTGGCTGGGCGGCGGTTTTCGGTAGCGGGGGAGGGGTTTTCGGGGAAGGGGCGGCTTTTCCGGCGGGGTAGGGGGTGGGGGTGTGGTGTTTTCCGGGATAGGGTGGGGGGCTGGGTATTTTTCCTTTTTAAAAAAATTTTTGTTTTAATTTTAATTTTTGTTTTTTTTTTGGACCTATCACGTGTTGACACGTGTTTAGGTAACCTAGTACATCAGGTTAGATGACCTGTTGGGTGCAACGAACATTAATACCCCCAAAGTTGGGAGTGATAGATAATAAACTGAAGTTGGGATTAATTTCGGCCGATGAGGCAAAGTTTAGATTAATGGGAGCAATTTTTCCTATAAAATATGAATAATCGTATTGTTATGGAAAATAGTTGGTATAAATCGGGAAATTTTGGGAGAAAGGGGGGAATTAAGTGAATAAAGGTCATGTGACCCTCATATGACATGGTCAACACCGGAAATAAAAATCAAATGTGTCATTCCGGTGGGAGGTAGTCAATTACAACATTTTATACTTTATAAGGTAGTTAATTACAACATTTATACTCTATAAGGTAATTAATTACAACATTTTGTTTTTAGGGTAGTTTCTCGCAAAAGTCAAAGTTTAAAAGGTAGTTTTTCACAAAATATTTTAAGATTTTTATGCTATACCATGTAGGTTGCTCAATGCTTACACAATTAACTCCACAATTTTCATATGTTTTATTTTTTTAGATTGAAAATAAACTCGAAAATTAAAATCTCACCATTAAAAAAAATACCATTTCATTAGTTTTCAAATAAGGGTAAGAAACACAAATTCATTGAAACTAAGTACGGAGTAATATAAATTTTGTTAATAAATTGGAAAATTATAAAACTAAAGTAAAAATAAGCAGTAAAAAGGTAATACGGAGAAGAGTGCGAAACCCTAAGAGAAGAGTAATGTGGAGGAAGGCTCTTATTTTGTGAATGATTGAGAGTATTGATGACTTCTTGAGTGGATGATCAAAGGCAAGGCAACTCCATACATTTATACAGTTCCTTAATGCCGATGGATTTGAGTTGGTTAGCACTTCATGAAAGTTCTTGTTCTAGCATATTTCTTCCACTGGATTGTGGCAATATCTCCAACCTTCTAGAAACATCTAGAAATTAGGATATTATGCATGTGCCATTAATTTTCTTTGATGATCATGATTTACCTCTATTCTTCCACTTAACTTATAATACCTCTAAATCTTCCACTTATAAGATTTGGATCATAACCAACAATATGTAAAACATAATTTTAGAAGACATGGTATGTAAAACTTTTCAGTACAAGATTTTAATTTGTCATACTACAAACTCTATTCTAACATTCATTCTAGCTACTTATTTACGTACATCCTGGTATCATGCCAAAAAAATCTACTTCACTCTCACTTATCCAACTGTATATATGTACATTTAATGAACTCTCGAGAAAAATCGAAAGCAAATCTATAGCAGCACCAACATATGCTATTACTGACAGCTGTGAGGAGAACATATCAAAGTAAGGAGAATAATGAATCAGATCCTCTTCAGTCTCAGCTAGCAGAATGAATCAGCGTTTAGTTTGAATACATAGAGCCAGTTCGGAAAAAGAATTAGAAGGCTCTTACTTGTTTTTTAAGTGAGTTCTGAAACTGCACTTGTTGTAAGGCTGTCAAGTAAATTATCGACCATTAGATTTAGGCCGAAAGTTGAATGTTGTTACAGAAAGCCCTCAATTTCAATTGAAATGGAGAGAAATGACCAAATGCATATTGGGTCATTTTGTGTTTTCTTGAAAATTTTGTGTCCTAGATAAGGCTGCTGGATTTGCTTGCAGTACTGGAGAGGTTTCCATATGAGGGTCATTCCCCTCATCGCTCTTTGATTGGAATGCCTTGAAAAGACCGGAACCTCGACCTATAGTTACTGGTTTCTCACTATTTTTCTTCCCAAGGGTTTTCCATATTGAGCTTTTTGCTACTTCTCCTGGATCATCAATCCTCAAAGTTTTTGGGATCCAAATAGATCTCTCGGAACCTGTCTCTTCAATCTCTTTCTCCTCGGACTTGGTTGGACTTAGCATAGTCCCGTCTCTTGAATGCTTTCCTAAAGGAGAGTTTGGGCCAGAGCTCGAGTTTGAATGACTTACCTGAGATGGTTGAGCCGTCAAAGGAATATTCCACGTTCCTGGTACATTGTATCCCCAATAGGGAGCTACGTGATAAAACGGAATAGCAAAGCCGTTTGGACAGAAAGGTGGAGCTGCTATAGGATTCCATTGAGTTGAGTTCCAAGGATAAGGCCAAGGTGCTCCCGGGTAGCATAGAATTTGAGGGAAGGGAAGGCTATTAGGAGCTACTGACTCATTTAAAGCCAATTTGCTAGCATAATCATTAGAATTTGATCCATCAAAGTCGTTACCTCCATGTTCCAAGCCTCCGAAACGATTGGGTATTTTCAACTCCTCTGGCTTTTGAAATCCATTACGCGAACAATTCTTTTCTGTCTTTTCTGTAAGGTTTAAGATTGATGCCATAGACTCACAAAGAGGTACATCTGAGCTGAAGCTAAGGACGGTGCCATTATTTGGTAGTACAGGGTGGAACACATTAGGAATATCAGGCTGAGTATTATGGAATGCTTCTGGAATGTTGACTTGACGATGATGAGAGACTGAGTTCTTGTTTCTGCGACGCCCAGCACCAACAGGCACATTCCTCATTGTACCACCAGCTGTCCAATATCTTTGACAGTTTTTACAGAAGTGACGAGGCTGGTTGACATTGTAATTATTGTAGTAACAGAACTTTGTGTCCATACTATTGCACCGGGGGCATGGGAGTATCTTATCAGGTTTCTTTGGAGTCATATCTTGGGACAAATTCATCTCTGTCTTTTCTTCTTCCAGATTTAATGATTCTCCTGATGCCTTTTCTTTAGCACCTGATAAAGGGCCAAGATTATCAGTGCATCCTAATGACGCAGCTTGACAAGTACTCGTATCTGAAACTTCAGGTGAAACTCTAACTTGTTTTGTTTGAAATGTCTTTCCATCATGGTTAATCTGAAAATGAAATGAAAATGATATTAACAAAAAAACATTAGAACCAGCTATTTTACCCCTGCTTCTCACTTCAATCCATACCATCAAATATTATAACAAAAAACATCAGAACCAGAAAAGTTTTCACGATTAGAAAATCAACCATATTGCATAATCAAGTTGTATTTGTATCCTTTATTGCAATAGATCAGCTTTGACTGAGCAATAAAAAAAAAATTATCATGATGCTCAAACACCGATATCCAGTAATATCAATTCTCTATCAGTCGCAATGGCCAGCATTAAGATACAAATATGAGGTTCGATTTTCTCAGTCTGTTAGTACCTTTTGAGACTAACCCATGAACTCATTGATATATATTCATTAAGAATTTGAATGACTTTAGAAAGGTGTCAAAAGATAACAGCATGCCTTTTCCAGGACTTCCCTACGACAACTCATGCCTTTAAACCATCGACTTTATCATAAACATAATTTTACATAATTACAGTCATCTATTTGTAAAGAAACTATTTTAACTATAGCTCGAATGATTTGACTTTCCAAGATATAATCAGGATGTACGTAAATGAAGTTACGTATTAAAATGTAACCATTCAACAATGAAAACTAGCTTGACTCACCAGTATATAAGAATGTTAAATATGTTAAATTAGCAGAGATAACTCATGAAATCTTTGGGAGTAAATACCAATATTTTAAGCCCCAAAATCTGATGTACAATCGATGCAAGAGGAATCAAATCCACAGCGTATAAAAACATACCTACAATAACTAACTACTGACTCACATATATGATCAACGATCATCATTTCTTTCCAGAATTTCACAAAAGTCATCATTTCCGTTCTTGCTTTACCCCTGTTTATGCACAAAAGTACTTTGCATATTCTTTCAGGTATAAAAACTATTGTGTGTCCACCACACTACAACATATACTCCTTCCCGAATATGAAAGTTACAACCCTATATGTCATAAATTTCCCGCGCAAAAACATAGATCATCACATTCTACCACAAATAACTCCAATACATTGATAACATTTACGACCAAGAAAACAAAAACTCCCATCAATACTCTATATATAAACAACACTTAATATACATCCCACTTCATGCAGCCTATTTAAGCGTTTTTTATTCATTATACATTATTATGTCCAAAGGATTCCTTGACTAAGATAATGAGACAATTCTGCAAGGTCATTTATGAAATTATTTCCTAAATTCTCATGAAACATTTGCCTCTGCTAGTCACTGATTAAATTCGTCAAAGAAAAAAACTCATCTTAACTAGTCAGAACTATACATTAAAAAATTAACAGCACCACCACCAATCCATCACTCGCCGCAGAATACTCTACCCATAAGGCCGAAAATAGATAAATCGTAGGAGTTAAAGTACCAATTTATTCCCAAGATTACTAAAGCTACTTCAAATCTCACAAACATAGGCAAAGTCATAAAAAATCATTTGATTAGCTTAATTTCACCTCCATTTCACTAACATCCTTCACGAAGCATCGCTATTGTAATGACACACTAAAATTTAGTGTAACCTATTTACTGATACAAAATCAATTTCATTAAGAAATCTCAATACATATACAGTAATTGGACAAATATTAATGTAAGCTGTAGGTGTTGAAAAAGATAAACATTAGTAACATATGATATGAAACTTTGCAAATCACTATAATTAATCAATGTAATTAGACTGATCCAATTAAACTACCATCTTAATTGCTCTATCCACTAATTATCATGGGAATTTGAGGCTTAGAAGAGCTTCTATTGTTACTTACATACAAAACAAAATTAACATGTGCCATTTTGTGAGAATCATCACAATGCGCAACATCCAAACTTCTAATTTTCACATCTTATTTGTATGTGATTAAAGATATAATCGGTCAAATATATGTGCATTTAAATATAGGGTAATAATGCTATATGCAAGTGTTAAGTTGGGAATTTATCAACAATTTGCGAGTAAATAGGTGTAATAAATGTTTATTTATTGGCCTTATGTTTATTCATAAATATTTAAAAATTATTAATTAATGTAATAAAATTTCATAACCAATCCACCCACCTTCGAACTGATCAAACAAAGAACCATAACAACATTATCATTAAACATTTCAACTCAAATTCAATAAATTAATAATCAATAACCTACAATTTATTATACGAGTACTAATTAATAAAAAGATAAAAACAAATAATAGATGAATTTACCTCGTCAATTTCTCTGTCTCCTGGAATACCATTTTCATCCATATCCTCTGTATCAATTTCATCGCCATCTTCGTCGTTGTCGTCATCATTAGCAACGTCAATTGCATCAGTTGGTGGTGACCAATTTACCGGGGAATTCAAGGGAATTTCCTGCAATGGAATAGTCTTGCCAAACAACTTGATTGCAGGGTCTTTTGTTTCCGCCATTGTTAAAAGAAAATAAATATTTGAAGATTTTTAGTTGTAATTTATATACTCGTAATATTGTTTGACATTCCGCAACTTAGGAAAGAAAGAGAGAGAAAGAAGAAAAGGGAGGAAAAAGTGCAAGAATCTGCTTAATTTACGGAAGCGAAGAAATCTGAGACCCACCCTTTTTTGGTGTGTGTTTTAGCCGCTTTTGGTCTTTTCTATGATAGAGAGACCTTTAATATAAAATGTTACTTTCCAATTTGTCTAAGCTTTGCGTAGATAGGTGTAATAGCGGTTCCTAAACCCAATTAGACACGCTCCAATTAAAAAACCCTAAACTTAAGAACACGGAAGATGAGAGTGAGGGATAGCTCAAGTGATTAGAGCCCCCCTCTCGGTCCTAGGTGATCCTAGGATCGATTCTCATCACCCGCCTTTGTGGCTCTCTAAACACGAGATGCAAAATTAAAAGGATCATCCCAAGAGCGAAAAGGTACATTTGTACTGAATATTATTTGTACTGAAATCAAGATGATATGTAAGTATAGATGTTTATTTTTAGATTGTCATTTCTATAAATTAAAATTTTATTGTGGTGTTAAATTGTAATTGTTAACATAAATTGTTGATATAAACCCTAATTTTCTTGAATAGGCCGCTAAATAAAATGTTCGGCACCAAAAAGAAAAAATTTGCAAAGAAATCTACTGTAGATCCATAAACTACCCAAAGACATTTTGAAACAAGTTACATAAGAAAGGGAAAATCAAGAGAATTGATATTATTCATTTATTTTCTTGCTCATGTTTGTTGTTGTTTGGTCCGAAATTTGCGCTGATGTTGGTGTTTTTTGTTTAGATTAATTTTTTAGTGAATTTTGTCCAAAATTTGCACTGATGTTGGTGTTTTTTGTTGATTGCTTGAGGAGGGAGATGAAGTATGGAGCAGGGGAGTATTGGTGAGTGGTTGGTGTGGTGTGGGATTAGGAGGTTTTTTTTTTGACAAAAGAACTTACAAACAAACAACAAAGAAACTAAAAATGGAAACAAAGTAAATCACGCCGACGCGCCTTCCCTGCCAAACAGTGAGCTTGAGCAACCATAGACCTTGGAACCTTCTGAATATGACACACAACCAAAGCACCAATAACTTCCAAAATCTCCTGCTGAATCCAATATAGAGAAATATCTTTGGGAAAATGAGATCGAAGCAGATCCACCACCGAAGAACAATCAGTAAAAATTTGTAAAGAGGAATACCCACGCTGCCTGGCATGGCGTAAAGCAAACAGACAAGCCATCAGTTCAGCCTGTAACGCAGAATTAGAGTTACAAGCCTGCGCCCCACCCTCGAGTTGAACATCAGAAGCCAGATCCAAGAATACCCATCCAGTACCCGCATTATGACTGCCAGAACTCCAGGCCCCATCAAAAGTAAGGCTGACAGAACAAGCATCCGACACATTCCCTCGAAGAACTGCAGAAGATATATTACAAGAAAACCCAGGAGGAACTGCAGGCGTAATATTAATATCATATCTGAACGACCTAGCCTCAGAACACCTATCCACCCAACTAGAAGCTAGATCCATAATACAATCAGGGGAAGAAACTGCAGAACGAAATCTCATAGAGTTCCGAGTAAGCCATAGGGCCCATAACAAACTGAAAAAACGATCTAACATCAACCAGTCCTTATCATGAAGAAACTTAGAAAGAACCTCAAGAAACCACTCTTCAAAAGGCTGTTTTGGGGACATATTCAAGGCTGATCCACAAGGTCGGTTCTCCCATAAACTCCAAGTAAAAGGACAATCTCGAAAAAGATGAGAAATAGTCTCCATATCCTTATGACAAAACCCACATTTGGAATCCACAGGCAAACCCTTCCCAGCAAGCAACGAAGCAGAAGCCAACGCATTATGGATAATTTTCCAAGCAAACATTTTCCACCTTGGAAGTAAAGGGGAAGCCCAAAAATGCCTCCACCAACTTGAGTCAAGAACTAAAGGTGATCGTTGATCCCCATTCTCATAACACAAGGAGCACACATACGCAGTCTTCGTGGAGAACATCCCGTCCCTAGTAAATTTCCAATAAACAAAATCATCAATTCTTTCCTTAGGCCGTTCAAGGCCCAAAATAAGGCCAGCAGTACGAGGAGGAAACAACCGATGAATCAAACTCGTTTTTCCATGCGTTCGAACGCACATTAATCAAATCAGAAACAAAGGATGGGACACCCATCCTGTTCACAGAATCCTTAAATTGAACTTGAACCCCAGGCACCCAACTATCATCAAGAATACTAATGTTGGTACCAGACCCCACTTTCCACACCAAACCATGACAAAGGGTTTGAAAACCCTGTAACACACTACGACAACCCCAAGGGATTAGGAGTTGTGGGATGTAGGATAAAAGAGCGTGAAAAAGGGTAGCAAAATATCCCTTGAATTATTTGTTGCCTTGCTCATCTTTTGAATAGTGATGTTCAGGTTTGAGAACATTATATTCATATTCATTTTTAGTTAGGACTTGCTCTAGTTCCAGCAACAAAATGAATGCTCGGTTCTATAATGAATAGAATATTGGGCTTAAGTGATACTTAAGTCGATCCGATCCACTTGCACTGGTGGTCTTGGATTAGTCACTTAATTATCAGCTTTTTATAACAGTGGAATGAAACAATAGTGAGTATCATACTGCACTTAATAGTCACTAATTGTGTATTATTCTTTTCATACACCCAAATTAAAGAAATGGAAACAATGAATTCTAACAGTTTTAGACCTTTTAGTTGATAGAAGACTCACTTCAGAACAAATTATTTCAACAATTTTTAAGCATTAACTGGATACAAGCCACCAATAGTCTTTTCATCTACAATATACCATTAGACACACTAATTATATCCCTTTTTACTTGTTTCATTTTTTATTATAGGGTCTCCTAATTTATTCTGCCCATTTTATTAAGAAATTTTCGTTCACTATTTTTTCTCGAGTTAAGTCCCGCACTATCCGCCCATATAATTCTCTACTTTTCACTTACAATAAATCTTGTGCAAATGACTAGTGGGAAAGTAAATAGGGGCGGAGGGAGTACATTGAAACAAGCAAGAGACTATATATATTTGAGCAGAGAACCATCTAGACCTATTGTAATGCTAAACTGTTCAAGAAAGAAGGTTAAAGGGAAGAATGTAATTACCCAACAGAGTAGGTTATAGTTGGCGTGAGATAGATTAAAGGGGAGGTAGTGGCATATTTGCAATTAGTTATTTAGACCCCTAGTATTATGCAAGGCAGAAAATTGTCATGAGAGGAAAAGAGCAAAGGATTATATTTAGAAATGTTGTAATTGAGTTGGAGCTTAGGGGACTGCCAACCTCTTAGGTGATTCCAGGCCTATTTATAGCCAGATAAAATTATACCTTTCCATTTTTCCTAAATTAATTAGCAATTCCTTTTAATACTACTCCCTCTGTGTTTTTGTAAGTGTTACACTTCCCATTTCCGGCCGTATTTTTTTAAGTGTTACACTTTCTTTTTTGGCAAAAAGAAACATTAAAATATTATATCTCTCTCCTCTTATGGTCTCTACCCAAACCCACTACTACTTTTTATTATATCTTTCCTCTCACATTCATTATTGTTCAATAAACTATTAGTATCATTCTTTTACAATTTTTTAATACTCCAGCTACCCCACTTACCTCTTATTTTATTTAAGTTGATTAAATTGTCTAAAACTATGTGCCGATCAAATTGTAACACTTAAAAAAAACACGGAGGGAGTATCTTTAACTTTATCATCTTATAATCTTATGTTTTAGAGTGCATATCAGGATAGATTGAAGCCTCAAGAAAGAGTTCACAAGTTGAAGATCAATGGAACAAACAAAAATAAAAGACACAAAAGAAAAATGAGAAAGATGGAGGTGTGAAAGAAAAGAAACTCAGAAAAAAGACAAAGTTGAGGTGGTGAAGGGGGAAAAGGGTGAGAAAGTTGGGGGTGTAAAAAGTGAGAAAGCACCTAAGAAAAGAAAGAGAGATGCAAATGAACATGTACATGAGGTGGTGAATCTTGATGATGTTGAAGATGTGGAGGATTATGGTAAGTTGTAAGTGAGGATTAGCCATTTAGATTCATGACGTTTGCATCAAATTTGAGCCCTTCTGAAAAACAAACAGTTGTTGACATGGAATTTGGAGCATTATTTGATGTAAATCTGCCACAAAATGACCAATCATTTTCTGCTCGGCTTATGCATTGTTTTGAAGAGATTAGCCGCACACTTTATCTCCCATACAACAAATCTATGTTATTTGTGAAGAAGATGTTAATGTTGTGTATGGAATCCCGAGAGGGAAGAAAGAAGTGAAAGATATTGAAGATGAGGAACAAGAAGAGACTCTTTTGACTAAATGGAGGAAATATTGGGGTGTTGTATTTGGCAGCCCTAAAACATACAAAGTTTTGCAGAGGTATGAGTCTGAGGAAGAAAAAAAGAAGAAGTTGGAAATAATGAAAGAAAAGATGAACAAAAAGAATCTGGAAATGAACACTGAACCTGCGAGAGTGAACAATGGCGTAGTTGATGAAATCTTCATTATTAGTTTCATTGTGTTGGCGATAAATTGCTTCATGAAATGCAACCAAAGCATACACTACCACTATAAGTTTCTGTTCTCAATGAAGAATGTCATTGAAATCAAGGAATACAATTGGTGCAAGTATGTCCTTGATAGCTTAATGGATACAAGCATTTCTTGGAAATTGAATCCAAGTGGGTTTTATAAAGGACTTCTGCCTTTTCTTTTGGTATGCCATTATTTTCATTTTCATATACAGTATGTTAATATTTTTTTATTGTATTTGTATTTATGCTAAATTGATGATTTTTTTATTTGTTTTTCTTTTTAGCTGTTTTACTTTGATCGCATTCAAAAGAAAAACATCATGCCACCAAGAATTCCTCTTATCATATATGTATGGACAAAAGATATGGTGGTTGAAAGGATGTAGTTGGAGAGCCATGGAATTGGATTGGATAATATTTTTCCTCGAGCTGAAATAAAAGAGGAAACAACAGAAAAAGAATCAACTAATATACCAACGGCCAAGGTTTGAATTAGAAAATATACTTATACTATTGCATGTTCATTATTTTTATGCATTATGTTCATTGATT